CAACTGCTGTAATCTCTCTTGTTTATTTTGCTGTTCGAGCTGCCATTGTTGCAGGTTTTCTGCCCACCGCTGTAATCTTTCTTCTTGTGTCTTTTCTCATTCTTGTCGTTTCTCTTCTTGTTTATTTTCTCGTTCTTTTCGTTTTTCTTCTTTATTTTCTCGTTTTTCTGTTTTTTTGCTGTTCTTGTATTGCTGCCATCAAATCTGCTAAGCTGTAGTTTGATTTGTAACTTCTCGTTTCCATATTTTTCTTCTTTTTTTTCTGTCTCACTCTCTCACACCAATTTGTTACGTCTCTGTTCGTTTGTTAATCTTCCATAAAAATTCTTTCCAAAGAAACTTTAGCGATACAAATCCTTTCTCCAATAAAACTAGTTTATTCTTTCTCAATACAACTTTGCAATACACTTAATTTCCACAGTCACGCTATAATTCACAACGAACTAACGATTTACGCGTTTGACTCAATTGTCATCTCTCTCTCTATCTGCAATTCAATTCCTTATTGCCGTCACTTCTTGGCGGTCTTATATATAAGAATACCCCACATCTAGTAAACACTCGAGGCTTCACGAATGGACATGAATTTCCTAGAAGCTCATGACGTGTTACTAGCGTCACGTGACTTCCGCCGTCGTAACAATACCATATTTTTGGGTGGAATAAAAAACATTGTTAATTAATCATAGAGTAAGGATCTCTCTATATGAGTGAGTTAAAAGTAATAATCATTTCAACTGTTAAGTTTTTATTTCTAATCATGGATGTGCCAAGTACTTTTAGTTTTTGTGTACACATGTGTTGGTGATCACCTCTAGCTTTCAAATTACAACAGATGTATTCAAAATATTCTTATATATTCTGCTTTGATTGAGACAAACCATTAAAGAAATCACTTGGTTCTTTTTGTGTAATCCAATGAGGCAGTTTATGTTGAGAATAGAATTATAGTTGAAGATGATTCATTGTCTTCTTTGCAGGATAACTTTCCTGTTTCCCAGGTAGTTATCTTATCCTTCCCCTTCTATGCAGCTCAAAAAATTAATAACAGTATTCACTATTCTATATTAGTGTGTGTGTATGAACACAACAATATGGACACACACAAATTGTTTGTAACAATTTTTATTACCATTAGAATAAATGTTTAGACTTTGTCCTTCCCTGTGTGTAAGCATCAGTTTTAGGTTACGCTTGCTAGTAGATGAGAAACAATAATCAAACCAACGCTATGTAAACACTTTGGATATGTATTATAAGTAGGGATGCACGGGTACCCAGCCAAATATTCGGCCTCAGCCGGGTATTGAGCTACCCGGTTATACTAGATTCTGGCTGAGTGTCGAAGTTAAACATCTAAGCCCTAATCTTTGTGGCAACTAACGTAGTATTGAAAGTTACAGTTAATAACTGGTTTAGTTAAAAAAAATAACGTGTTCCGAGCAGCAAAAACTGACTGCTCACTGAAAATCAGGGATTCAGAGAACAATAGAGGTTAATAACAGGCATGGCTTGAGAAGTGTATTTCTGGGGTAGGTGGTGGTTTTGAGAACAATAGGAGGTTAGGGTTTGAGAAGTTGGGGCTAAGCGTTGAAAGTAAAACTTGAATGTTCTCTTGGTGATTAATCGGTTAAATGTAATTAACATCAGTTTTGTTTTTGTTTCTAAGTTTTGTGTACGTTGTTTGTTTGTTTTTTTAGGGGGGCAAAGGTAGTGTTATGACAGCGGAAGTCACTTGACACTAGTAACACGTCATGAGATTATAGAACAATCAGGGAACATCACAAATAATCCAGTATTTGCTAGGCGCTCTCTGTTCTTGTATATAAGTTCGCCAGATAAAGCGAGACAATCAATTGGAATAGAACTGCAGACAGACAGACGGACAATTGAGTCAAGTGCGGTAGTAAGTAAGTGCGTAAATCGTTCGTTGTGAATTATAGCGTGTGTTTAAGTTAAATTGATTGTGGAAATCAAGTGTATTGCAAAGTTGTATTGGGAAAGAATAAACTAGTTTTATTTAAGAAAGGACTTGTATCGCTGAAGTTTTTCGGAAGAAATGTTTACGGGAAATTAACAAATGACCAGAGACGTAACAGTAGAACCGGTCCTGGTTGACACCCAGCCCCAGCCGAAGCTTGATGACCGGGTACCCCAATACGATATTTGGCCAAATTTTACTGCCTGTGCATCCCTAATTATAAATGCTTTTTTATGTGTGTGTGTGCACATGGTGTAAGTACTCTGGGTGTGTGTGCATGTATGCATGCTGTAAATAAATCTGTGTTTTCTTGACATGAATCCATTGAAAATTACTCTTACCCAAAGTTTTTATATTGGCTCTGCCTTTAAATACTCATGTGAATATCAAGAGTCAGATATTGTTAATATTTATACTGTGTATATTCTTTATTTGTCCACTTCATAATTTAACACAGCTGTCTTCATAACTGAAAAACAATAATGTTTGCACCAGCTTCTTCCCAGTGGGTGGCTGAGTTGGACAACCTTCTTTATTGTCAGTTTATTCTTTGTTATGTTCAGAACAAAATATAAAAACTTTATGGACATTTCCTGGCTACAGTTTTCTTTTTTAAGACATCACAGACCACTGAAATATGTTACAGTATTCATTAATACACTGAATAACTGGTAGAATGAGAAGTTTTACACAAGTATCCTGTTAGAATAATGTATCGCCTTATGTTAACATAGCATAATATTTAAGGACAGCGATGGAACTTATTGGTCCATCTAGACTAACACCCACAAAGTCATAAAAGTACTGGTCATATATTACACACACGATTCTGAATAAGGTAAGAACAGTTTCATCTCAAAAACACCACCTCGGAAGCTGTAGAGTTATAGTTTGTATCCGTGTATAAAACTGTTAACACTCATTCTTTTCTCATTTTCAGCTTAACATACTCCTTTGACAATCAACATCTGTATGCAGCTAACTCGGAAGGAACTGTACTTGTTTGGGAGAGACCAGTTAGAGGGTTGATGAAGACACCTCGGTTTCTTACACTGATCTAAACAACTCAAACTTTCCGGCACTGATAAGTTTCCAGTGCATGTGACTAATGTGAATTACTTCCGGGTTCTCATTTTTGAAAGTTAAACGGGATGTTCTCTGAAAACAATATGCTGATGTTTCAAAAAGAATCTTCATTTGATACATAAAGTGTTTATTGTTGTAAGAATTATGAATTTAAATCACTATTGGCCACATTTAGTGTTAGTTTGCTTTCAATTGGGACCAAATAGTTTGATAGTGTTTGTAAAAGTAAAGTCTAAGGTAAGCTTGAACAGATTTTTTGTATTAGATAATAAAAGGTACTTGAGAAATTCTCCAGGATCTCTCGACAAATCCTGTAGTCAGCCAGGTTGTACGATAAATAGTTTACCATTTATTTTATCACCATTACATTACTCTCGGATTCAGAATCCAGCGATTGTTTCACCTGTGAATGTTCTGAGAACTACAAAACAATTCGTATTTAGAACAATATGTAAGGTTATTGGGCTTTAAGAAAAATCGTTTTTGGTTTTAGTTTTGTTGTATCTTTTGAAGCTGTGTTACAGTATGAATACACGAAACACGTTAATGATTGAAGTACATATTTTTCTAGAGTTTCTGTAGCTAAGAATTGATATAGATGAGCTTCACAGCTCTGCTGATGTTCAGTTAAACAGTCTAGTCAGTGGGAATTTATATTTATATTTCAACAGTAGTTTAGTGTTTTTTGCAAAGTTTGAATTTGTTCATTTACAAACTGAATGTGTTGTATTAGCAAAGATTTAGTGTAGAGGCTAATTGTACTGTTTTCAGAGAGAGAGAAATCAATACCTATCTATGCTTTCCCAAGTTCCTACAGTTTCTCTATTCATTACAATTTTTTAAAATCAAAGTTAGCTTGAGGGAAGAGCAGTTTTTAATACTGATCAAGTTTCATTGTGAATATTTTTCTGTGAAACGAAATTTTAAAATATTTTCTTATGTAAGTTTTAGATTTTTCCAGCATAAAGTACGTATAACATTTATTTTTAGGATGTAAATTATAATACACATCATGTATCATGAGCTTCAGGTCAGTAGCATGTAAATCAGCTTCTTCTGTTGAACTTGTTGCTATAATATATGGTGGTATGATTCTTTTAGTTACATGCAACACCTTAAGTACACATTACTGAGTTTCTGTAATCATGGACCTGTTAGTATACGAGGTTAAGTGCTCTCCTGTTGAGTGTGGTCTTCAGTGTGCATATGCCTTGTAAGAATTGTTGTATTCATTAGTAGAGGTCATGATGCTTTCCCATGTGCTTTTAATATTTTTGTCATTTAAAAGAAACGCTGCAAGTATATTTTTGTTAAATACTATCATGTTTAAAATTTAAAACCGTAGTGTTCTCTATTTCCCTCATACAACGTAGGAATTGAGTGCCACTCCAATTTTTTTAATCTCTGTATTATAGTGAATGTAAAAATTGAAATTTTATTCTTTAAAAGGAATGAAGATTGTATAATAAATAGTGACGTTTTTAATCTAATGGTTATACAATAAAAAAGCTACTTTACATCAAGTTCACTGTACTTTACACTGAAAAATATTAAATTCAAAAATCTCACATCTTAGTATTACTTACTGCAGCTTTTAGTTTAATTGTATTACTAGCAGGTTTGAAACTATCTAAGCTTGAAAGGTGATGAACATGATTATTGGTATCGTATTATAGCTGAGATTTTTAACACTTGTACAACACTTAGCCCGAAGTTGTAAACTTAAGTTGACATTTGAAAGTGCTTTGATGTTGTTTTTAATCTTGTTAAAATTATTGTCTGCTAAACTGTCATTGTTTATGTATTATAACACGTGTGAATAGTTTGTAACTTAACACTTATTCAAAAAAAAACATTTAAAATCATTCTTGGAAGTACTTAAAAAACAAAAAACGGTAAGTTCAGGGACGGGAAGTGTTTAAAAACTAGAATGACCTGTAATTATACAAGCTGTGTAGCTGAACGTCACTGTACAGTACTTCTCTATCTCAAGATTAACCACAGTCAACCGTTTATTGTTTAACCTACATAGTTTAGTGTACAGTCCTCCTCTATCTCAAGATTAACCACAGTCAACCGTTTATTGTTTAACCTACATAGTTTAGTGTACAGTCCTCCTCTATCTCAAGATTAACCACAGTCAACCGTTTATTGTTTAACCTACATAGTTTTCCCATACAGTCCTCCTCTATCTCAAGATTAACCACATTCAACCGTTTATTGTTTGACTTGCACAGTTTTGTGTACAGTCCTTCTCTGTCTCAAGATTTACCACAGTTGACCATTTATTGTTTGACATACATAGTTTTATGTACAGTCCTTCTATATCTCAGGATTAACCACAGTCAACTGTTTATTGTTTGACTTCCATAGTTTTGTGTACAGTCTTTCTCTATCTCAAGATTAACCACAGTTGACCATTTATTGTTTGACTTGCATAGTTTTGTGTACAGTCCTTCTATATCTCAGGATTAACCACAGTCAACTGTTTATTGTTTGACTTCCATAGTTTTGTGTACAGTCCTTCTGTATCTCGAGATAAACACAGTCAGCTGTTTATTGTTTGACCTACAAAGTTTTGTGTACAGTCCTTCTGTATCTCAAGTGTACCAATGTTGGCCGTTTGTTTGACTTGTGTAGTTTTACTGAGTGTACACCACAATATGCTTTAGTTGATAAAGTAATAAACTACAGACCTGAAGGTTACTGGATAATTAAACTTTCTGTATTGGATAAACAGCAGTTTGCATGATTTGTCAGTTTTCTGTTGATAAGATCTTTTGTACTTGAAGAACATTTACCATGAGAACTAAGTCCACAATGTTGGTAGAGATTTGAAAAAACATCATATTAAGTAGTTATCAGCTTACACTTCCATAAAAACTTCCTTCTTAGAAATCTATAGAATGTTGGAAATCATAATTTGTTTGTTTTGGTGGTCTCTTCAGGTGCATCATCCTGTTTGTATTTATTAGTCCTTTCAGCACTTAAATTATAGTGTTAAGACCGACAGTATCATTCAAATTTATCAAAAAAAAAGGATCTGAAAATAAATTTTGCTTCTGTTTAACTTTGGGCGATAATTACGACACCGGTGGAACATGTCTCCATTTTTTGTGGATATGAAAATATGTTTTTACAAAATTAAAGATAGTTAGAAATTTGTGATAGAAATATTTAAATTGAGCATTGTAACAAAATGTCAGAAAAATTAATGAATTTTATTCGGCAATGTGCCAGATCTAAAATTTCATTTTCATCCAATTTTTTGATCTCTAGCCACACAGAGTTGTGTAAATAGTGTTTTCTTTTACATGTGTGGTTTTGAGAATATTTAGAAGTTGTTTTACTTGTCAGAATGGATTTTGTGGTATTCAGAAAATAGCTGTGTAGTCCTTATGCTTAATGCTGCTCTTAATAAACATTTTAGAAGAATTGGTGCTCTCAAAAAATTTGTCTGTGTAATAACATTTGTAATGAAAATAAAAGTTTAACTTAGTTCAAAAAAAATACTTTGGATTTTATGATTCTGTCCAAGAACAAACATTATATTTATTTTTGTATTGATTAGTTACTTGTTTGTGTTGAGTTTAATATAAAAGCCACTGTCATTTGTCTCTAAGATATATAGTAAACTTTATTGCTGATGTTTGTCTGCAATGGGAAACCGTTTTTGTGTGATGTGGTTCATTTCACACTTCTTGACAGGTATGTTCATTGTTGAGGATCCAGTAGATATTTAATAAACATTGTTTCAAACATGGTGCTCTATGCATGCAAAATACACTGTTTTGCTTAGAGCACATTGTTGACAGATTTATGTCAGTTAGTTGTTGCACTGTACGAATAATAGGGAAAATATGGTGGTTAGGTTCAAATCACACCACCCAAAATGCTTACCCTTTCAGTTATGGGGGCATTATCATGTGATGGTGAATCCTACTATTTATTTGAAAGAGTA